AGAGAGAGAGAGAGAGAGAGAGAGAGAGAGAAAGAAAGAAAGAGAGAAAAGGAGCAAGAGAGGGGGGAGGGGAGGGGAGAGAGACAGAGAGACAGAGAGAGAAGAACCTGACGCGCCGGAAGCGCACAGCCGAGGCTACACCCTTCCCCGAATCGGCAGGCGGGAGCTCGCCGATACACGGCGCGACGCAAACGCCAACGTCTTGCTCACTTACGCGCAACTCCCTGGCGATTCAGCATTTGTTTTTACCACAGCCTCCCACTCTCACCGCCTATCGTCCATCGACGCCACGCTCTCGCCATTACGGATCTCTCGCGCAGAGCGCAAAAAGCGCCCGCGGGGTTATCGATTGCGCCGTTCGACTGCCCGGGGCGGCTGGCCAGTCGTGCGCGCGGGGCACGCCGACGGCGATTCCGCGAAACGTCGGCGACGTCCGAGATCGATCCCGAATCAATCTCGCGCCGCGGCGAAACATCGTCGTCCCGCGTCGCCGCGCCCGCGATCTCTCCCCGTTGCCATTCCGGGACGAATATCGCACGGCCGACCGCCAGCGGCGGTGGCAGGGCAGAAAACGCGGCAACGATTCCCCGAATCCCGAATGGCGGATTACCGAGGCTCCCCGCGCGCACTTGGTACCGCGCTCCGCGAACTCGACAGCACTCCGCTCCGCTCTACGCGCGCGCACACACACGTCTATCACGATACGCGACGACACTTGCGCCGTGCGCGACGACGAGCCGACGAATGTTTACTTGGAAGATCGCGCGCCGAGAGGGTACATACGCTTATGGCCGTTCGCAACGTCGCGTCTCAACCGCCATGTTTGTCCACTAGAGAGCGTGCGAGCCAATCGCGGCTCTGATGTGCGTCGACTGGAAATCGCGAAAAGAAATGTGACCCGAACTGCCCGTTGAACATCAATTTCGCGAAAGGACGTGTCACGGCTGCGCGATTACAGTACGCGTAAAAACAAAGCGGGGGGTTCACGACTTTATATAAAAAACGAAGAGAAATTAAAAATACCAGCATGTGAAGCCTAACCACAATTACTTATAAAGCGATATTTTTAATTTCTCTTCGTTTTTTTATATAAAGTCGTGAACCCCCCGCTTTGTTTTTACGCGTACTGTAATCGCGTGGAAGAATTTTGTAATTTTATAAAGCCAAATTCAAATTGCTCACGATTAAAAAATTGAAAATTTCAAATACCAATATCTCATTAGACTTTTGACCCGAGTGTTTCAAGTATAAAAACGTTCTGCTATGCGGTCCGTAACTTATCCTGGTATTATTTTAGGCGTAAAAACTAATAAAAAGATTCAGCAGCGCAAAAACTATATTCGAATGTGTCGGTAAAACAGATTACTTTAGCATCCTATTGGCCAATTCTGTCAGACACATAAGAATTGACCAATCAGAGTCGACTATTCTTACGACTACGACTTTACGACTTCTATGTAGACGGGGCTTAATTACTTAACGCGGGGAGCACACATTTTTGCATAAGTGCATAAGCATATGCATAACGAATTTGATTGGTCTATAAGCAAATGCGCAAGGAAATGGACCAATCAAATTCGTTATGCATATGCTTATGTCATAGAACTTAGGGCCATCGCACACAAAATTGCACAGTTAAGGCCTTCACACATAAAATTCCGTAAGGACGTAAAACGTAAGCATAAGAAAATCGACCAATCACAGTCGAGAACGTAAGGCAATGACGCAAGCAGTAGCAAATCCAACCTGTTGATTTTCTTACGCTTACGTTTTACGTCCTTACGGAATTTTATGTGTGAAGGCCTTTACATATGCATAGCAGAAGAACCGTTTAAACCAACGAGCATCGAGCATTGAATCGTCATATTGATTTACATAACATGCTCATTATACGGCTCTGTGTTTGGTTGAAAACACATTAACCCCTGGTCCACAATCTTGCTTTAAATGAGCTGTAAACCTTAAGCCGTAAAAAATTAACCAATCACAGACATTTATTCCCCTCACTCTCATCTGTGATTGGTTAATTTCTTACGGCTTAAGGCTTACAGCTTACTTAAGTCCCAGTCTACAATAGAGATTTAAGCCCTAAGCCTTAAGAAATTGACTAATCACAGTCGCGCATTCTTCTCATACTTGACCGTGATTGGCCAATTTCTTAAAGCTTAGGGCTTAAATCATCTATTGTAGACTGGGACTTAAGCATGATTGTGGACTAGGGGTTAGGTTTCTCTCTGGTATTAGCAAATCATAGCATGGACACGAACCATGTACCGAGCGTAACAAACGTAGTCGACGTCTACTTTCTCAGGGGGCAACATTTTTCTTTGAAGCTTGTTAGCCGCTTTAGGTTTCTATATTACTGATACTATTTGTAAATATTTCAATAATTGCACCCTTGAAAGAGATAAAAATTATAGAAAATATATTCCGTCCGTAACAGCGATCCACACGCAATATCAAATTTTCGAATCTTGTCGAAAAAATATTAGTCTTATATGTGAACACATATGGCAGAGCCTACTTATTTTATTAGTCTCCTTACAATTTCAGTTCGATAATATGATAAATGTCTTTGTAATCGGGAAGAGATTAATTCACTTTCGTTATAAATTAAAATATATCATAGTAGTAAGTTCACAATTTACTATCACATTTATTATATACACTATAAATATAAATTAATTTATTCTGAGTAGAGGATGGAAGAGAGATTCGTATTTACATGGACACACGATAAAATTGGCAGCTCATAAATAACAATACATTTGGATCACACATCAACAGGCACAGGACAACGCCTCAGTTCTGATACCGCGGATAAATCTAATTTTAAGTTGTTAATATTATCATTCGGTATCTCGACCTTTAAGTCATGTATGTTATTTAAGCTTAAAATTCAACTTTCATCAAAAAATTGCAGTTATGAAACAATTAATAATAACAATTAATAACAAATTAAAGTAACGTTAATGTTCTTTGGTCTCAAAAATACTTCAGACGCTACGTGAAATCAGTTATCAATCGTTTTCTAATATTTCATTGTCATTATCCTCCAGGATAATCGTATTGTGCCTTTCTGTAAACAATGTCTCTTGACTCAGTGCAGGAACTTGTCGGGAAAATTCGCTGGTCGCCCATAGGAACAAATCCAAGGTCTGCTCCGTGCACTCCGCTATGAATCTCACAAACGGACGAACATCTCCAGCGTTGGCCACTTGCAAATACTCGTAATACTTGTGGCGATGCTGTTTATGGATAATGACAGGCGGATATCCAGCCTGCATGAGTATCATGTTCATAAGCAAGCGGGACGTTCTGCCGTTTCCATCGGTGAACGGATGTATGTGTACTAGTTTATAATGCGCGAGAGCCGCGTACCTGAAAGGGAAACTTTTCCGATTAATACTCCCTGCTGGATCCTTTCGCAAAATCTCAAATAGAGATACCCATAGGATAAGTATGACCTCCACTCACCTTACTGGATGCAACCTGATGGCTTGTCTGCTGTTCAGCCACAATACAAACTCCTCCATCAGGTAATGAATGTCGCCGGGGCCTGGAGGTATATGACCACCAACGTACACTTGAGTCCTTCGAAATTGACCGCCCTCGACGGGATCTACGTGTCCCAGCACACGCCTATGTATCTCCAGTATATCTTTTGTAGAAATGGACCCTACCCTGAAATAGATTTACATGGATAGTAACTGACCAAAAATTTATCAACACCGGAAACATTTTTGTGCAAAGTCACTGCGCCGTAAAGACCTACCTATTGACCAAGGTCGCATTGATATACTTCATGGCAGCGTCTAACCCGAGGATCTCGTTGTGCTCGTCGACACTCTTCCCGGACACTGCGATGCGCGTTTCGACTATAGCTCTCGTCTGTGCCAGGTTCATGGTGTTTCCCTCAATCCCAACTGTATGATAGATATGTTGAAAGTAAGCCTCCTTTTTAGCGCGTATCAATGCGGCATTGTTATCAGGTATGTTGGACAGCGTGTTCCTCTTCTCGTCGATGCGTCTAAGCACTGCTGTATCATGTTCATCGACCACTCGAGCCGTCCTCTGGCTGTTCATTAAAGCGCCTTCGTGATTCGGCTCGTAGGTCAAGGCGCGCACGTAAAATTCGTTGGCCTTGATCACGTTGTTCTGCGTGTGCTCCAAAAATTCCCCGTAGTTGTTCAAGACGTCCGGATGGCAGGGCGCCAGTGCAACCGCGTGTTGAAACAATTTCACAGCCTTCTCTTGCTTCCCAGATAGTTTCATGTCCAGAGCCAAGTGCAGAGATGCCAGGGCCTCCGCTGTCGACGCCGCGCTACACCGAACCTTGTCAAGCTCGGTGTTGCTCGGCGAAATGGTTAGCGTGTGATCATCGTAGACGTCCAGAACGCTCTCCGAGGAAAGTGGCACGAACACGGAACGGCCTTGATGAAGCTCCCGTTCTGGAAGACAACGTGGCAGCATGACATGGCGCGTCGGGACTTCAACCGACCTGTTCAAGTCGCAACTTGCGAGCGATGCACCGCGTGGTACGAGCCGCATCTCAATCCTGACAGCGGACTGTCCTAGTAGCACAGTGCGTCGGCTAAACACGGCGCCCAATATTTACCCAATGTCTGGCCCACGCACCGCGCTACTCGGGCGAGATACGGTACGCGGTGAAGCGCGCGCAGTCGCCTCGGGCTCACCCGCGGAATCGGCGTCTATGTATCCCGACAGCAACGTACTGATGACAGCGATCGTGATCCCGAGGACGATGGCGAGTGGCACGAGGAGCCTCGGTGTCATATCGCACGTGGAGGCCGCGGCATCCCCGCGCTTCGCGTTCACGTACGGTGCCTCGGCATGACGCACGAAGTAGCCGTAAACGCACGCCGGCAGCATCCTTCCTCGTGGCGGTTCCCGTCGACCCGTGTCTCGTTGCGGTTCGTGGCGGAGCGTGGCATGCTTGTCAGTGGTGTCGTTCGTTTCGCACGCGCGACCATGTGACGTAGCGCGACCGTGCGCTCATCTCCCTCGCCGCGACGACGACGACGACGACGCCAGCCGAACGCGACGCGTCCATGTGGTTCGCCCCGATTGGCCGGCGCTCGGCGCGGCGCGCGCGCGCCCTCGCGGGCCGCGCGCGCATCGCTGGTTCGTCCGTTCCGCCGTTCCGCCGTGCCGCAAGTCCATCCGTTCTCAGATGTCGCGATGCCCTTGGTAAGTTTCACGTTAAACGCTCGTGCGATGTGCGCTCGAGATCCGCGAGGCGATACACCGTCTCGACTTCTCGCGCCGATGATTCTCGCTCGTTCGTAGGTGAATCGGAACGTCGACCGGCAACGCCAAGCATCATCTCGTCCCGTTCCGGCGGTTCCTTCACCGTCCATTCCTCCGAGTTTGAAACTCGGCCGCTTCGGAGTTCTTGGCGCGTTCCCGCGCTCGTCCAGCGTCTCTTCCCGACCTAGAATCTCCGTCCGGAGTGTAAGTACACGCGCAGGTATATCGAGTCCGAAACGCGGTAGTTATTTATGACCGAAGCGCGCTTAAAATCCATGCCCCGGCTCTTCGCAGGCTCGAGCGCGACTTCGCAAGGGGGAGGCCGCGGACTTGGCGCAGCCGCTCAACATGGCCGCCGATACTTCGGCCCCGAGAAACGCGGGGCGTCGGTCGGTTTTGTTGGGCCAATCTCAGGTACTAATCGCCCGTATTGCAGCGGACAAGCGATCAGGATGCATCCAGCAAGGTGAAATTCACATTTATTCTATACATATTTTCCTGCGCTATTTCTATTTGAAATTTTGTCAACAAACTCGGCGGAGCACGTTAATCGGGAAAATTTCCTTCTTTTACAGGTACGCGGCTCTTGCACGTTACAAACCGAAGTACGTGCATCCGATATATAATTGTCCATGGTTGATATTACATGAGAATATAATATTATGTTATTATATTACATGAGAGTAGCCCTTGATTGGGTTAGGCGGTTTCTCCAAGAGAAACTTTAATTTACTTTAACTCATCCTTCGTCTCTTTCCAACTGTCCCCCCCCCCTCCAGCTTTGTCCCTTAAAAAGGAACAAAGAATGAGTTAAGTGACGTTGAAGAAACGCTGGCCTTAGAGATTTTTATCAGTGAAGCCAACGGCACACGATACTATTTCTCCCACTGGATTGCTTACGAGAATCAATGCAGAGTTTAAAGCCAACGGCACACGATACTATTTTCCCTACTGGATTGCTTATGAGAGCTAATCGAGATTCAGTCTTAAGTCATCTGATCTAAAACTCTGCATCCTCATTGGTTCTCGTAAGCAATCCAGTGAGAAAAATTGTATTGTGTGCCGTTGGCTTTAAGGCTAAACCCTGAGTGGCTAAGCAATCCAGTAGGAAAAATATTATCGTGTGACGTTGGCTTCAAGCGAGAGATCCACAACAATAATGTTGCGTCCATCTGAGTCCACTTGAATTTTATTAGAGACTTCCGCACGATAAACAATACAAAGCAGCTTCGAGACTAAAAATAACTATTCAAAATTATTCGTTGAGCAAGTCTCTCGAATTTGCAGCGACTGAGATTGCTCAATTGACAGGGAACACGTCCGAAAAATTTAACGCGATTAACATTCGAATCTCGACAGACATTTTCGCGGGAAAGCGAGAACGTCGCCATATTTCACGCTTCGTGAGACCTAAAGATGCTTCTGCCAGCTTCACGTCTCTCGTCTGATTCTCGCACTTCCGATGCGACATCGCCAGGGCGGAGCAAGTATCTTTTTGTGAAAGCTCTCCTGAAAAATATAAGCGCTTCGCTTAAATATCGAAATTCGGACTAATCGTAATTGCGCTGTCAGCATTATTTTTTCTGTGAGCGACGTAACTGGGCATTAAAGAAATAATTTTACACTTCGGTTTCTTGGTTCCGGGATTTTTACTTGAAAATTTGGAGTCTTACCTTGATTCGCGAAGCAGGCACGCTTTCGCTGCTGACGCGCGAGTGGGTTTGCAAAGTCGAAGAGCTCGGGATCATATCGCAATCTGCTTTACCGATCTTAAAGATGCTGCGGCTCTTTTCCATTTTTTTGGCAACATTACAGGATGTAGAATTTCTCGACTTCCATGTCTCGTCTCTGTTCACAACGGTGGCAATTAATATAAGATAATTATAAATCCAATATGCGTAAATACATGTCTATTTTTACCAGTGCGGGTTAACTTTAATCTCGGTTTGTTCAAAATTTCGTTGATTATTGAGGTTTATCCGTTTCCTTCAGTTATACACTAGAGTTCAGAGTTTATTCATACTTATAGTCATTTCAACTGCCAAAAACTTAAATTGTTCAGTAAAGAATGCTGCTCTGTAGTTGCAAAGATTTAGTTTCCTTTTCATTCTCACAGCCAAGATTGATCCTTGCGAAAGCTTTATCACGGAATTTCATACACGGTTTAACTTGTCTTTTTATCTTATTCTAGTTCTGAGACTTAGACAAAGATAAAAATAAATTACTAAGATTAAAGTTAATCCACATTGGTGGAAATAGACATAAGTCATAGAATTTTAGTTCTATATTCCTTTTCTCTTCAATAAATAATTTAATTTAATCTCAAAAAATTCAAAATTCGAAGGTGAAAGAAAGAAGGAAAAAAATTGAAGTATTATCACACGTGCACCTGCATCTTGGGCTTACAGTTAAACTGTATAGTCCTTATATGTATAAACGAACAAATTAATTTTATTTATTACACAATTAATACACTGACAAAGAAATCTTAATTAAAAAAAATATTACTTTACTTAAGAAAATGATTCATTAGGTGGCTCCTAATAGCTTATTAACTTAAAGTTAAAAAATAATAAACAAATTAAAACATGCACTTCTTTAATTTAAGTATTTACTAAATATCAAACAGTAGACAATTTTAAATTAAAAAAATTTTACTTTAATTCTATAAAATGTTTACTAAGATATAAGTTTTACAGCGAAGAAAATTGGATTTTTTATTTGACAAGAACAATGATTTTATTTAATAAATAGTATTCTCTATCTCATGAAATCTTTAGTCGAATGTAGAAAATGTAATGATTTAAATTAATTTACTTAATATAATACACAGATTTACTTGAAATTTGATATTTTTATTTAAATAGAATAAATATTTACTTTAGTAAAAAAAGTAATTTTAAGTAAATCTATTTACTTAGTTAAAAAAAAATTTTTGTCAGTGTATAAATTTATCGTATACAAAAGTACAATTCTGTTTTAACGTTCTATCGAGTGGCACCTGTACGATCGTCGATCTGAAATCTTATCGCCCTGATTTTGTGTAATTTGCGATTCATGGCACTGCTGGGGCGATAAGAACGTCTTCGTGGTATCGAAACGAGTCCTCTGGAAAGACAAGAAATTAACAGTGACTAAGGGCTTCCGTGCGATCGACGTGATCGTAATCGCCGGGATCGGCGATGTGGGGCAAAAGGAAGTCGAATTTTACGTAATTTCTCCGTTCCTCGGAAGAGCGATTTTCGTTTCCGGAACGGCATCGCCAGTTCCACATCGCGGAACCGTGTAATGAGGATTTCTTGACCGATCGATCTTGCACCTGGCCGCGTCGCATGACAATTATGCGATCGGCATTGTCAGGGTGCCCGGATGTACCGTTTCGCAAATTATCTTTCGTCGTTCTGTATCAATACAGTAAAGGAATCTTGCTGGACAGTTTCGCACAAATATGTTGTATACGTAAAGGACACTGTTTCTTTATATATAGAAGAAATTAGTTTTTTCATCAATAAGATATGCAAGATGCTTCAATTGCACAATTTAAAATACAATAAAATATTACAATGTACGGAATAATAAAGTAAATAAGATTACTCGTTTACTAAAAACACTTGCAATCAGGACTTTGCTAACTTTTATCTAGCTATACCGTATATTATGCTGGATTTTATTTTTATTTTTCTAAAAGAGATATCGATTATGCACGGCAATAGCTTACATAATTATGTTTTATGTAATTTTATGTGTTAATTGTCACCTGATAGCCATGGTCGACGATGAAACGCCTTCGGTTCGACACGTGGAATTTCGAAGAAGCCGCGGCGCTAGCCGATAAGCAGCTGCGGCTGCTTGATGCAATTTGTGCTCTCTGATAAAAATAAAAGACACACGTTCGGAATATGAATAAATTATGAGCGCGAAAGGACTTCCTCGTAAAATGTCTTCTCCCTTAATTGGCGTACTTACTTAATATTATACATGCCGCCAATTTCTCCGTACTTTCGTCTCATTATTTCAGCCTCGACAGCAGCCGTGGTTGTTCGCATTGCCGTCGCGATCTCGTGCACTATCTATAATAATCAGCGATGCAATCACCTTGCACGAGTATTTCGTATGGCGTTACTAATTGGCGCATATTTTAAAGCCGACCAAAAAACCGCAGAATAAATGCGGCAGTAAAATTGAAAATTCAGTGCATAATAACGCAGAGTGCACAGCCGGTGTGAAAATAAGAGGGTTTGTTAAATTAAAAAAATTTTACCGCGAAATAATAAAAGCACGGATTTGTTGAAACTGAAAAATTTATCGCGAGTAACAGAAGCATTTTCGGGGAAATTAATTAAAGGGATTTGAAATGAACAAACGGTTCTTTAAATAAAAGTCGCAAATACCCAATGGGGAATTGAGAAATCGTCGAGATAACCGAGATAAAGCATGCCGTGTTTTCTATACGTGTGTTCTTCGAATTCCGCGATTACGGTCGAGGATTCTGGAGCATCTTGCATATATTACCGCGGCGTGATTGGAGACGTTCAAGTCATTCTCCGTAGAGCGAAGATGAAAATTGCTGTTCGACGGCGCGAGAATCCACGGGTGGTCAAGGATCTCTCGAATGGTGATCCTCTCGCGAACCGACGGGACGAGCAGGCGGTTTATCAGGTTCCTGCACTCGATCGACGTTTGGTGCATGGCCTTTTCCTGGATCGATGTCAAGCCCCTGTTGATCTGGATCATCAGCCTCCTCCGGCGTTCCTCCGACGACGTCCACTCGTCGCGGGGACACAGGAATGGAAGCTGACCGATGGTCATTCCGTACAAGACTACTCCTCTGCTCGTCACGTTGCATAATGTTTAGACATCGCGCCAAAGAGTGTCTTTATACATTGTATTAATAATTGAAGAGCAGAAATTCGGAACTGCCAAATTCACTTCTCGACGCTGTACGACTTGTGAGTTATTTGAAAAGTCTCGATAAAAGAAAATATTTCTACTTACAGGCTCCATAGATCCACTTCCGGCCCGTATCGTTTACCCACAACGAAGAGCTCGGGCGCAGCATACTCCGGGGAGCCGCAGTGCGTTCGCAGTGGATCGTCGCTGGCGTAAATGTTGCTGAGACCAAAATCTGCCAGCGTGAAAAACATCTGTCATCGAATCGGTGAGTTTCTTAAAATTTTTAACCTTCGATTACTGTTAAAGCTAAATTATGCAATTGTCGCTTTATCCGCGATCGTAATGTATAAATATAGATTTATATAAATAAATGTAAAATAAATTTTTAAGACGAGACATTTAAGTTTCGTTGCTTCCACAAAGAGAAAAAAGGTCGGCAAAATTAACAAGTATCGTCTCGCATTCTATTTGATATTTATTTTTGTTAAAAAGTCTGCCTTGGGATCAGATACGCCGCGGCAATATATAGCAATAATCGAAGGTCATTAAGAATAACGGGCATTATGTTTCTGCGTAATTATATAAATTGCGGGGCCAATTTCATCGCAAGTGCAATTTTTTATGCGCAGCTCTGCCGCCGGGGCACAGGTGGATCTGATTTCACGCTCGAAAATCAAGCGTCACGCGAAGCGGAAACATTATAGTTGCGATTTTCGCGGTGCACGCTAATCTACGCGGTTCGATCGATGGCGATTGCCACAATCGCCGCGACCGTAATGTTCCCTAGTCCCGCGCGATATGTCGACGTCCCGTGTACACACGTCTGCCTCTCACCCACTATCTTGATCCGTTCCTTGCGTTCGTCCTGTAGTACGATGTTTTCCATTTTAAGATCCCTGCAACAGAATCGTTAAAATTAAAAAGAAACTGGTCAACGCTTAAGAATCAAATATTTCACAACGCTATTATACGCTGTATTTAAAAAAAAAACAGCGAGTGTTCTTGTTCAAAGTAATAATTTATGCACATATATATAGATTACACTGAAGCTAATTGATTTCTACTTTCACGATAGGATGTAAAATTGATTCCTTTCCCAAGAAAAGTTTGAGAGGGATCGCTCCTTATCACATTTTTAGAACTCAACGTTAAACATCTTGACACCTAAATCTTAATTCATTCGATCAATCCATCTCGAAACATCCATTTGAATATGCAAATATACCAAAGCTTACTATTTGATTGACACTCCGTCCATCTTACACGATGTGTTGAAACTTTAATTAAAAAAGCGGGTTCCAATTTGACTAAAGAAACGTCACTAAAACTAGAATGGATTGATATTCCTTTTTCTCTCGCTATCTCGTTTTACCGATTTTATTATGATTTTTTGGGATCTCCGATAGAATGAGGATTACGAATTAAGGCAGAGATTGCAGGCGGGCGAGTGCGAAAAAGGCGCCGTATGCATATGCAATGCGTGTGCAGTTTGCACGATCACGTAGCGCGTTCGCGAGATTAACGCTCTCGGCGCAAGAACCTCGTGGCCCTGACCATCGCGCGAAGGTCTCTTTGCTCGTATCGCCGTCTACGAGCGCGGCTCGCGGACCTTGCAAATTGTCGTTTCGTCGGCATGACGGCCTCCCGGCCTCTCGATGATGTCGAGTCCCCCTCGTTTCTCGATCTCGTATACTTTTTGACGAGACGCCAACGTGTCACCCATGTCTTCGAAATTTCACGACACACGTCTCGGTGTTATTTCCTATCTAGATTTAATTTTTCGCACCAGCGCTGCAGGATTTGCGCCGTATCTCCTCAAAAGCAAATCACAGAGACAACTCTATATCTGCATAATATACAAATTGTACGCGAACGGAAACGATTTCTCGCGGAAATAATTTTACTATACTCTCGCCAAAACTTTGCGCGACATTGGTGCAAAATACTGCTAAGAGGATGTCTTTAAGGAATTCGTTGATTAATAGAATGTTTTTAGCCGCGGACCAGCTGTGTTGGTATAAACGTGGGAAAGTATCGGTACGTTTCGCGTCATCGGTCTTCAATTGCGCAGGTACCGATAGGCGAGGGAGCGATATCGAAATTTCTAGCTAAGGCCAGCTGTCATCGGGATCAGGCGGCAACGGCCCTGTAGCTTATCCGTGGCAGAGACCTTGGGACCTTGAAACACATCATTAAAATCGCATCGCCAGCGCGCGCGATGCGAGAGTGGAGTCAGTGTGCGCTTTGGGTGTCGCTAATAAGTAATAAAAGAGGACTCGCTCCTCGGAACACGTGCCCGCGGCGAGGTTAATACCGTCACGGGATGCAAGGCACTCTCGACGGGGTCGTTACTCGTTGGCGGAATCTAGAACGTCCGCAGCATTTTTCTTTATTCCCCGTTGCTGGCCACCTTCCATCGAATCCCGAGTCGTCCGAATCCGCCGAGCGAATTCCCCGGGACGTTTGCCCGAAAGAAAAAAATACGACGTAACGAACAACGGTTTCTTCGAGTTTATCAGCGTTAGTTCATCGATCTATGTTTGTCCTCTCGTTATTCTCCGCTCGAGCCTCCTCTCTCCCGTCACTAATTGCGCAAAGATTCATCAATAATACGAGAGCAGTAAAAATAAAAGGTTGCTAAAACAGGGGATAAAAAATTTGAAATAAAATAAAAAGACCGCGACGTCCACCGCTTTTATTTCTCTTTTCGAAAAATAAAGAAGCTTTAACGGTGTCTGTAATGTGCGTTTATATCACCGGAAAGTTGAGAGAATAAAATTTTAAGTATAACATACGGCGGACGTAATGCACTCACATTAAATTCGTGAACATTGAACGTTTAATTGGTGAATACTAATTTTATATTTCTGCCTTCAACGATTGATAACGAGAGAATCGACGCAATTAATATATACGTATCGCAAAATTATAGAGGCTATTACGGCGTGGATCTCAACATTTCAAGTTATCAATTCCCGAGTAGGCCCTGAAAAGCTCGATACGCTAAAGAGTATCGAGATACCGAGGGAAGGTATCCGTATTCCGATAATCGAAGCACGGTGTGCGTACGGTACTCCAATATTGAAACGTGAGTATCGCCGGTTTCGAGCGGATGCACCGTGCGCGGCCTCCGAGCGATGTGTTTCTGCTGCATCCTCGACTGCTGCGGGATAATAGTCGAAACGACCCTGAAGCCGAGGCCACGGTTGTTCGTTGGCCTGGGCGATTACGTTTCTTTTCCATCGTCGTAGAAGCCGCGCGGCCGGCAGCGCGCGTTCTTGGGAACAAACTTTCGCGACAAATCGCGCGAGATCCGATTAAAGCTCGCGCCTGTCTCGCAGAATCGCGCGAACATAATTGCCGGCGTGAAGCGGCAGGTGGTCTCGCGCTGAATTTGCGCTGACTTGTACCATTTAAACCTAATCGAAATGTGTTTTTCTTATTCTTTTAAACCGTTATTTCAAACTAGCCTCGACAGCAAAACTTTTCCGTTCGTTTCCTATCTCTTAGGAATTAAATTAGCGAAATCGAAGACGAGCAAGCGGAATGAATATTTAGCACTTATTTTATACCAACAATAATTTCGTACCATTTGGGTATCATATGTATCTCTTTAAGGCCTGTGTCCACGATGCTAGAACTTGGTCCAAGTTCTAGTTCCGAGAAATGTGTAGCCAATCAACTTGAAACTTTTATGGAATAGCTGCAAGTTGATTGGCTACACGTTTCTTAAAACTAGAACTTGGATCAAGTTCTAGCATCGTGGACACAGGCCTAAGAAAATTATTCTACGCTAAAGGAAGGTCAAGTTTGCTGTGTTAATTTTTTTATAATACAGGGTACAAAATTGTTTTCGGTGGCACAGAAATAGTACAAAATCAGTCCTGAATAATCCACTAGATTCTCTTTTGCTCATTTGGGCCTGCCAACTGAGGCTCGCGGGACTGATAGCGAAGAAAAAGAAAAGGGAAAAGAAAAGAAAATAAGAGGCAAAACGAAAAGCGCGAGATACGTGTCCCGCACGCCGACGCCGTTAACGATCGTCCCTTCTCTCGCCACCTCTCACTCTGAAAATAAACTCGCGCGGCCCGTGACAAAAGTGATCGATGAACACGACGATCCAGATATTCCTGGTGATCCACGAGCGGGCGACGGGAGATGAGTTCGCGTATTGTAAGATGGAGCCACGGGTTGCATCCGAAGGAGATTGCATTCTGCGCAGTGTTCTCCATTTCGAAGATAAGAATTCCTCGTCTGTTAGAAATAACAGGCGGCGAAAGCTCCGACTGTTAATCACATATCTATTTGATTACGTTTATTAATTGTTTTAAACATTTCGAGAACAATCGCGCTCGCGTTCGAACTTCAAACGTGGACAGTTTCGAAATGCGGATCTCCCGAGGAAGGATTTGCTCGCATAATTCTGTTTTATGACACGCAGATCCTGTTTTTACGGATTTATTGCTAATTGACAGTTATCTTTTACATATTGCCGGACAAGCTGATAGCATCACTTACTCTGTACACGTTCCCGCAGTCGCATTTACCTCCTCACGCTCGTAAATGCTCGCGCGCGTCCGATGCACCCGCTCGTCTCGGATGCGCGCATCCGTAAGTACTTAAATTTAATTGCCGGCCATGACCGTTACATCGCGGCAGTTATTTCGGTCTTAATAACCCAGGTCCACCGAGCTGTCGCTCGGTTGAGCGGGGTCATGTCCGTGTTACGAGTCGCGAAATCGCCGTGCGAGATGCGCAAGGTCGAAACACATGGCGAGATCGCACGTGGACCAAAGGGAATGGATTTATCGCTCCTTCCGCGCATAAATATTCAAAACGCCGCACTGATACGCGCACGAGCGGGCCGCGGAATAATAGGCAACGAGAGATATTTGGGATGCGATGCCTCGAGGCGAGGTTTTAATAAACCGCCCAATACGACTCGTATGATAAACCGGTCCGCGGGCGAGATGCTTATGGAAAATAATTCGGACGGCCTGGCAGAGAAAACCGCGTAAATGTGTTCACGCCTTCCAGTTGAAACCACGTGTTCGCAGTTGTGCAATTGCGCGCCAGTCTCGCCTTTATTTCGCAGAAACATCCTAATTTAACGGCAAGTTCTTTGAAGAGAGAGAAGACTGGGAAATAAACTCTCCTCTCGGATAAAGGCCTCAGGAGAAATTGAGCGCCCACTTTAATACTCAAAATTACTTAATTGCAAACTAGAAACATTTGGAAAACAAGGACGAGACCGTTGAAAAGAATGAACGCCACAGTTGGAAAATTTGTGTTTTCTTGTTAAAAGAAATGCCCGTTAAAATTTTTGTGTTAAATGGTTAACACATTCATGTGTTAATTTAACAGATTGCTCTTATGTTAATTGACCTTAAATGTAAAATTATTAAAATAACTGAAAAGAAATGTTAAAACAACACAATGTGTACTTATTTTGTAATCTTACACAATACATATGTTCTATATTATTAGTAACAAGATTTATCTGTTAAAATTTACAGAATGAAATGTTGATTTTATTCTATATAACATAAGAGAGTGATCTCGGACCATTTGGCTTATTACATCTGGACCTGGATAGATCAGTTGGAAGAGCACTCGCCTGGCAAGCGGAAGGTCCTAGGTTCGAATCCTAGCCCGTTACTTTTCTCGCCG